GGACCTAAGATACAATTTAACCTAATTTATGAGACATCAAAATAAATACTATTTCAAGTCATAGCTTTTTAGCCATTTGATAAGGAGAAATATTTCTTTAGCCAATAGGAAGACATGTATCACCCCTAGCAGGAATTAATCACACACACATACATGCGTGCACGCACATGTGTGTACACACACACACTCCTTATTGAAAATACCACCATATATCATAGTTATTTTGATGTATGATTTATTTCCTTACTACACTATATTTCAGTGTTCTAAGAACTTGGGCTTCTGATTTATCTTTTCAGCATCTTTATAACACAAAATACAGTGCCTTTCAAATAAAAAGCTTTAATAAATATTTGCTGGTTGAATCAGTAACCAGAAAAAAAAAACTATATTCTAATGCTTTAATTTAATAGCCGTTTATTGAACATGTATTACGAGGTAAGTTTTGTGCCAATCTCTAGGGAAACAAAGATGATGAAGATGCCCTTGAAACTCATAGGTGGGTAAATAAATAACACCCAAGCCCTGTGATAAATGCTTTGGGAACACAGAGGAGGAAGCAATTAATTAATTAACCTTAGTGGGAGCAGGGAGGACCTGTGGCAGGAAGATGGTGCCAAGAAAAGCCAGAGAGAAAATGTGGCTCTGGCTGGATATTAGAGGACAAGGAGGCATTTCTAAGAGTCAACAAAGGACAAGCATTCCAGGAAAAACCAATAGCCCAAGCAAAGACATGAAGATGCGACATTATTTTTAAACACGTGAAATTTCTTTTATAAGCTAACATTCCTCTTTAGCATAAAATTACCAAAAAAGGCCTGATGCACATGGCTGGGAATACTTTCTATTTATGTAGCAAGCCATATGTTAAAAGGAATTATTATTTGTGATTAATATCCACACACTGAGTAGATATTATACTGGGCCAAATGATGATCATCATTTCCTAAAATTTCTAAGATTACAATGCTACCTATGTAAATATAGAGGCTTGTAAACAAAATTACAACTCTTTTATTCCTTACCATTGTGGTCTATTTGAGCAGTAATCTTGCTTAACTTCATTAAAGGCTACTTTACTCATTAATAAAGTAGGGGTCACATTCTTCATACTACCATCTTTGAATTAAAAAGAAGACTAAACTGTGTAAATTATTTGTTTGAGAACTTTCTCTTTTCAAAATCAATCCCAATATATAAAGTATTCTTTAATAATAATCTTCCTTCACATATATAAATATTAATTTAATAAGCTCCAACTTTAGATTGTCCTTGTTAAGACATAATCCCACTCCCAATGTATTTCTCAGGCTCCTTTTTCCTGTGTGATTCGGGAAGCCTAAGAATTTCTGTAATTGGTCTATCTCACTAATAGCCCTATTCATTCAAGGATCTAGAAAATATATGATGCATATTCTGTTGCTGATCTTCATGCTTTATGCTTTGCACTGAACAAATACAAACATTTGTTCACCTATTCACTCAAAACTATTGAGCACCTAATATGCCAGGCATTGTTCTAGATGGTAAGGCCATACAATGAACAAAAAGACAAAAATCCTTGCTCTCATGAGGCTTACTTTCCAATAAGACAAGCCATAATCGACAAATAACTAAGTTAAGGGTTACAGGTTGTGGAAGAAAATTAGAGCAAGGTAATGGAGGTTGGGATTATAATGCCTACTCCGATCCATTTAGGTTTAGATTGACAATCATACCCACGAGACTTAAGAGGCTTCAAGTATACTACTGAGCTTTAGGAAAGGATTCAGGACAGAAAATAAAGGAGCATTACAGCACTGGCAATATAGATGACTTATACTCCCAGGCCATTCCTAATGTTCGCAAATCACTGCACACTAGAGATGAGATGTGTGTGGCAATGACAAATGAGTTAGGGTAGGCAGGACCACTCCTTCAGCTTATACTTTGCTAGTTAAGATGTATGTGATGAGCTTCTATTCATTCTCCAGAGCAGTTATTCCCCACACTCTCCCTTAGCCAGCCCAGTATCAGTCTCAGTAATAATGAATGTAAGTGATGCTTGTTCTACTACCTAGTAACTTCAGCTGGATTTTCTTAGATTAAGTATAGGAATGTACTATGAATTCCCTGAGTTCTTGGGTACTAGCAAATGGCATAATAGTTACGTCACTGGACTCCCACATAGTTGACCATGGTTCGAGTCCTGGAACCGGCAGCTTAAAACTCATGCTTTTCGCATGTGGGTACATGCCCAAGATCCCGAGAGGAGAATGGAGGAGAAGGGGTTTTGGTGGGGCCATCCCCCAGAGGGCGATTTCTCGCTTTCCGTCTCCCTGTCTCTCTCTGATGACTGCACGCACCCTATAGCAAAAATCTCTCCTAGAAAAAATTTGCTGAGTTATTACAAGGAAGATCATAAGAAGGGTCAAATCCCCCAGCATTTCTGAATATAGAGAAAGAGTCAAAGAACTGTTATCCCTTTTTTCTCAGAAACTGCATTATATGTGGAAACAGCTTGAAATTTTTAGTAGTGTGACTGACTGGTGGGTATCTGATTGAGAAAGCGATAATCTACCAAAGCTTGGACAAAGCATAAGAAGTGATCTGGGCAGGTATCTGTGGGGAAAGCACTACCAACAAAGAAAAGCTGGTGTCAGGCCCTACCATCTACATAAGGAATCTTTTTTTAAGAAACAGTAAGAGTAAACCAGGGAGCAGTAAAAGATGGTGATGTCACAGATAGCATGGAGAGGCCAGATCATGTAGGGTATTGCATCCTACTGTCTGCACTTTGACTATTACTGTAATTTTAACAGGATCCATTGCCAAATTTTGAGCACAGGAAGAATGTGAATATACTTCAGAATAATAAATAAAACAAATATCTGGTTGCAGTAGTGAAAAAAGACTTTAGGGTAACAAAACATGGGAAAAGAAACAGAGAGACCAGTAAGGGGTCATTGTTATCATTCAGTCAAGGGAGAACTGTAGTAACGCACTGACTTGAAGTGGTTAGATTCTGGACAGCTTCTGAAAGCTGAGCCAGGAAGATTTCTGACAGTCGTGTGATTTGACAAAGAGACAAGGTCGACTTTGAGGATTTTGGCCTGAACAACTAGAAGGATGGTGTTTCTGTCAATAAATATGGAGAAGGCTAGGTGTAGAGACAGTCTGGGAGGCAGATCAGGAGTTAAGTTCTGAGTATGTTACGGCTGAAATGTCTGAGATATTCTGGTGATAATATCAGGTCAAGATATTTGAATCTAGATTTAAAAGGAAGTTTGAACTGGAGATATAAATATGATAGCCCTTGACATGTAAGTACAACTTTAAGTAAAAGAATGGATGACATCAAGAAGTGAGTATAAATAGAAAAAAGAACAAAGAACTGAGTATCCTACCGTGCTCCAACTTTATGAGGTCTGGCAGCAGAGGTAGAACCCACAAAGGCCTGAGAGAGGGAAGTCAAAGGAGCGAACGAATGCCAAGTTAAAAAAATACTTTGAGGAGAAGGTAGTCTATGCTGGTTAAATGTGCAATACTGGTAATAGGTCAGGTACAATGAGGACAGAGAACTGACCATTGGATCTAGCAATAGAGAGGTCATTCATGACATTAACACAGAACGCTTTTTCCTGAAGCAGTATGGGAAAGAGCCACTGTAGAGTGGATTTAAGAAAGCATGAGAGGAGAGTAACTGGAAACAGTCAGTATAGACAACTCTTCTGATAAATTTTCCTTCAAGTACAGTAAACAAATAGTGCATAAATAAATAAAAACAAAAAGGGTGACAATTGGCAAGGAATTGGGGGTAAAGAGTTTTACTTGAAAGACAGAAATACCAGGATGCCTGCATGCCTATGAGGATGATCAAACGGGAGGGAGCAACTTGTGATGTAGACCAGCAGAGGGGGATCTGCATGAGTACCCTGTGTAGTACACAGATGGAAGACACTAGGTTCTCACATAGTCTGGCTTTAATAGGAATATAGACAGGTCATTAATACTGTAGGCAGGACATTGGAATGTGAGTGCAGATGGGAATATTTCTTTGGAACCAATATAATAAAGTTAAATTTTATTCAACATTTACTGTGGATCAAGCATCTTGTGTATCTAACATAAAATTTAACTATCATTTATCCTAATTTTAAAGATGAAGAAATTGAGGTAAAGACAGATGAAGTGACTTCTGATTGGAGAAATCAGGATATAGCCTCAGGTCTATCCAATTCTAACGGCTACCCTTTTACACACCATACACTATGCAGTAACAGGGTCTGTTAGATAATTTGTGAGGACTTCATGACATGTCTCCAAAACTTTAATAGTTTTGCAAATTTCAAGCATGTGAAGACAA